ATATATATAATTAATCATAATTAAATACGCAAGCAGGCGCATACACGTACACATACATTTTCTTATATAAAGGCACACATGAAAACTGAACTTAGTTTTATAAGATTTTGTTAAAATTCATGATATTATTGAATAATTTCAATTACAGTTGTTTTGTTACACTCCATATATATTCTAATTTATCATGTAAAATTGTCAAAACAGTTTTAAAAAATAATTAAAAGATGTCAAGGCAAGCGAATTAATTCGTTGAGAAATTATATTCTCTATGATATATACATACTTATATGATTAATTAAATAATTCTTCGATAATCGCTGATATAGATACAGTATAATCTTTGTTTACAATGCGAATGACACTGCACAGACATGTTTTTATTAATCATTGAATGCATACCAACATCACTAATCGTGTATTAATTTGTAATAGTATATGCAGAGTATATGTCATATTCCATATTCGCAGAGTATATGTCATATTCCATATTCGTTTTTTTACACGACATCTTTCTTGTCATTTTAAATTTAAATTTGCATCTAGAGTATATTTATATTCCAATATGTAGAAAACACATTGCGCATTAAGAGATACATTTAATACATCGGCACACGAACATGTCTGTTTAGTGTATTCATTCATTGTCAATCTGATTTTTCTCCGGGCGTATTCTTATTATAAATATTTTAAAACGTATATAAAATTATTTTGCAATTATTCTTTAATTTACGCTCGCGTGGAAGAGAGTGTAATTTACGGCTTATTTGGCACTTGATTTCACAGCTTGTACGAAAATGTTGATCGTGATATGGGGAAATGAAATAACTCTGCCAAACCGAGGGTCACCAGAGTTCATCCGCAAGCGCCCTTGTTTCTTTTTAGAACGTACCATTTCTGATCGTTACTTGGGCATACCAAGCAGCGCCAGCCGTATTGTCCTAAAAATAAGAACAAATCATTGACACAGAAGTATATCGACAAATCGTGCTTGTAAGCAACGGGAATCGAATAAAAATTATTAAATCAGTAACATCAATTATGTATAATGTAATATAATAAATAACACATGCCTCTTATTTTGTATGTCTTTATTCTGTTTGTAAATGTAATATTACTTAAATGCGTAGACTTAAATTGATATTATTTGCAAATTTATTTATAGAGTCCGTATTTCGAAACGTTAACAAAGCTTATTACGGTTTGCTCCTTATTAATATTTTAATAAATATGTAAAAACGTTAATTTACCTCGTTCGTGCCACGAATTTACCCACGGGTTTATTGTCTCTTCCGTGAAACTCGTGGGTGAATAAACGGGATCTGGAACGGTGAGAGACGAAGAAAAGCCTTTTCTCACTTTTATTTCCAACGAAAGTAGATCATTTGCTGCAAAATATACGTATGGTGAAGCGATATAATATTGTTTCTCATACAGCGAAATCTTCTCATTATATTACACCAATCTTGCAAATTGTACAGTATAATGTTGTAGAGAGACATTGTAAAAGTATTTGAAATTGCAAAATCCCGACAAGAGTGCAGGGATATCGTAGAAATATTTCAAAAATATTATAGACATATCACAATGTAATACATATTGCAATCTTAAAATGAAATATTTTTATAATGTTTTGTTAAAGTCTATTTTTGTGTTGTATGGATCTTAACTGTTTCGTTATTAAAGATGGCACACATTGTTAAATATTCATTATATCTATATTAAGACTGTAAATACTATAAAATTGATTTTTTTTAATCGAAATATGCTGTTACTTTGGCCAAATGTAACGAAAAGGTTAAATAATATCGTTAAATATTAAACTTTGATGCATATTCTTTTCTCAGAGCAAAGCAATACGATTTTAATTTGAGACGAAATTAATGCCAACTATTAATACTATTATACTTTTCCGGAAGTATGTTCGTGCCATAGCAATCAATTTTGCGTGAGACAGATGAAGAAAATAGGAGAAGAGAAGCATAATCATTACATCACCAACTAATATTAAGCGTATAATATATAATATCGTATAAACATAATCATACATAGTGCTATTATAGACCAAATAATAAGTTAAAATATTTTAAATGTCTGGATAAATATTTCCTAAATATATAAGAAACTGTAGAAGGTATATTGAATTTGATACTCTTAAAAAGACTCATAATTATTAGCATTATTCCTAAAAATATTAATATCATAGAACTTGATTTTTTCCGATTTAATTAAAAATGTAAAGCTTTAACAATATAATATTACTTTTTTATATTTAACTAGACATCATAATTGAAAAAAAGAATTTGTCAAATAATAATCACATGTTAATATAATAAAATAATTTTATATTACATTAATACATAATAATCTCATAAAAATTTTTTGAGTTAATTGTTTGAATGTTCTTATATACAAAATGTTTAAAAGATTATCAAATTAATAAAATTAAATTGTTTACAAAAGGATTAAATGACTATAAATGTAGCCATACAAATTGAATTGATCTAAACTTCGTTTTTTAGGATCAGTTCAGACTCTAGTTGACAACTTTCATAAATCATTGGATATTTGATATATATATATATATATATTACTCTCTTTGATACTCTTTCTCCGAATCAAATACAAATGAACTCATTGTTTGTCTGTCTCATATACATATATACGTACGTTCAAAGACGTAAGGTAGATATGTGGTTGGTTAACTTTCCTTCTCCTTCTTCCCCTCACCTCCTCATCATCCACACTTTTTTTCCACATACGACCTCGGTCTTCTCCTGTTCGCCGTTATTTTCTGGAAGCCGTTGTTCCTCTATCGCGCGAAAGAATTCCCACAGCTTCTCTTCAAAACTACACATTAACTCGGACAAACACTAGTTTTTATTTATGACGCGAGCATAACTTTTTTCGATGTGAAAATGAAATTACAGCAGAAACTCACTAGACGTTATCGAGTCTTCTAAATCACACCCGTCTTACTATAGTTCATTATTAAAAATTTGACATAGCGCGGCCGTAAGAGCTATACGCAAATTTCTTGATATAAGACCAACGGATAATTTTTTCGCTCGAAAGAAACATCAGGAATGAACCTGACATTTGCCATTCTCGCTGTTTTCGCGGATCTTACTTCGTGCTCATTATTCTTAATTTGCCTTCGTCTAACCTTCTTTTCTGAATCGCTTTTGGTAAGATCAATAACGACCGGTTCTTCGAGTTCAAGAAATTCCACTTTGTCTTCCTTCTTCTTCTCCTCTAGAGATATAAGCTATAGAACATATACAATGTATTACATCTCTTATTTTAAATAAAAAAATTGTTTTTGTTATATATAAATAAATTGAATTAACACTTTGCCAACCGCTCGAATTACGCCTGGCTAAGCGCTGGGCACCCTGGGTATTTTCCGCAAAAGCTGGTGGACAAGTTTGAATTTAAATTTCTACAACTTTTACACAATATGAGGATTAATATAACATAAAACTTGAAAATAAATCCCTTATCATATTTCTCTCTCTTTCTCTTTCTCTTTGCCGCGTGTTAAAGAATTAAGTTAATTAAAAATTTATATTATATATTTAGCTGTTGTCACATGAAAATTTTAAATAATGATATCGCCGTCACATTGATTTAATTATAAAAGTGTTAAAGAATTAATTAAAAATTTATATTATATATTTAGCTGTTGTCACATGAAAATTTTAAATAATGATATCGCCGTCACATTGATTTAATTTAAAAAGTTTATATTTTATATTTTATAT